GTGTCTGGTGCAGGTTAAGCAGCCCGGGCTGGAGATGTCAACGGTTCAAAGTGAGCTGGACTTGTCATATGGACAACGTTATCAACAGGTCACCATTCCAGAAGCTTACGAACGCCTGATTCTCGACACGTAAGCTTACCCACATTTCTTTGTTCCAAAAGAACTCAACATTGTGCTATGTGGCATATTCAAGTGTGCTATTCTCCTGTGCAGAATCCGAGGCGATCAGCAGCATTTCGTTCGCAGAGACGAGTTGAGGGTAAGGCTGACTATTATCAAACCACAATCACCACTTCATCTTTGCTGGAAACTATGGGAGGCTTCAAATTTAATGCCCCTTTTTAATGGAACAGGCGGCATGGGAGATTTTCACGCCACTTCTGCACAGGATCGATGATGGCGAGTTCAAGCCCCTCCCGTATCAGCCGGGAAGCCGGGGTCCTGCAGAGGCAGATGAGCTACTGGAGAGAGCTGGATATGTTCAAACACACGGCTACATTTGGATTCCCCCAACACTATGAAGGAAAAACTGTGACATGACCGTGTTTGCTTTGCTCGGAAAGCTGTAACAGTATATCAATGCACAACAATGTACGCGGTTCTCCTTGTGTCATACGGATAGCTTGTTCTAAGCCAGCTGAGAGTGTAATGTATAACGAATTTGCATAAAAAGCACCCTTTGGAGCCTGCTGTGGGGTGTTTGTATTAAGCATCGGTAATGAAATAAATGTTTTGTATTGTAGAGTTGAAGCTGTTACAATAGTAATAGAGCACTACTTACAGATTGCCGCCATGTCATGTCCGTCTTATGAATCATTAGCGGAGTTATATTGGTAGATATATAATCCAATTTGAATTCATGATCATATATGTCATTTTGGAAATTTCGAGCTATTTTGATCTGAATGGACGTTGCTTATGCTTATGCACCGCTATATGTTTTCAAATTACCGCTAAGGACGTTACACTTACGCCTCGCTTCTGGACACACCCGCGTTAAAGCTGGTGAAAGCCTCAGCCACTAGTAGCTTGAAAGCGAACCAGTACACGTGGCTCACTCTGCCTCACTTCTTCCTCTCTACCCAGAAGAATCCGCAGATTACACTATCACCGTAATCAGAGGGAACCCTTGGGGATCGGTTGTGGAAACGACGAGAATGGAGAAATCTACTGCTGATTCCAGCAACCAGCCGCTTGAGAATAGTGAGCCTGAAACTGGGTGCCTCTCAATCATTGTTCTTGGCGCTTCTGGTGATCTCGCAAAGAAGAAGACATTTCCCGCCCTTTTCAATCTCTACCGCCAGGTCCGATGCCTAATTTGGCGCACAATTCGAAATTCAGTGATTGTTTAAGTACTTTTGCGTGACAGTTTCCTTTCTGATCTGATTTTCGACCCTGTGGGAATTGTGTGTACCCATCCGCCAGAGATTCATTCAATCCAATGAATTTCACATCTTTGGGTATGCAAGGACAGAAATGTCAGATGATGATCTCAGAAGCCGCATACGCAGGTAAGGTGAGATGGAGAATGGTTTTCAGTGTTCCATCTTTTATTTCTCTGTCCTTCAATGGACACTTTGAATGGATTGTTCAAACTATTGTTTGCAGTTATCTAGAGAAGGGTTCAGTTAAGGCTGAAGATGTATCAGAGTTCTTGCAACTGGTTAGTCTTGCCCATTCCCGCATTGGGCTTCTCCATATTTCTATGTTATATATGCTTACAAAGTGGTTTGGTACAGATGAAGTATACAAGTGGTTCATATGATACCGAGGAAGGATTCCGGTTGTTGGATAAGCAAATTTCGGAGCATGAAGAGGCCAAAAGTAGTGCAGATGGAAGTTGTAGAAGGCTGTTTTATCTTGCACTTCCTCCCTCGGTTTATCCAGTTGTCTGCAAGATGATCAAGTTATGCTGTATGAACAAATGTAAGTTGGAAAGCAGCACCAAATTCAATGTCTGTTAAGCCTTTGGTATTGATCTATATGGAGATAAACTGATATAATGTTTTGTAGCTGATCTTGGTGGATGGACAAGAATCGTTGTTGAGAAGCCATTTGGCAAAGATTTGGAATCCGCAGAGAAGCTTAGTTCCCAGATAGGAGAGTTGTTTGGGGAGCATCAGATTTACCGCATTGATCACTACTTGGGGAAAGAAATGGTGCAGAATTTGGTATGAACTATGTTTGGACTCGTTCATTTACTCATTTTGGTGAGATTCCATCGTGTTTATATTTTGACCAATATTCTTCTTCTGCTGCTACAAATCTTGCAGTTGGTGCTTCGATTTGCAAATCGCCTGTTTGTACCGCTCTGGAACCGTGATAACATTGACAATGTCCAGGTAAGGATGAAAGAATCTTCTTGCTTCCGCTTTCCATGGTGGATGTTAACCATAATGATGAACGGAAACCTTACTTGGCAGATTGTTTTCCGTGAGGATTTTGGGATCGAAGGCCGTGGTGGATATTTTGATGAATATGGGTAATGCAACATTTGTTTCTCCCCTTAACTGAGATTGTAGGATCAATTTCAAAGCTTAATAGTAAAGGAAAGAACTTACCTGTCCTAGAGCTTCTTGGATTAAGTAGTTGATATGTAGCTATCATCCTTCTTCCCCCCTGCAGAATAATTAGAGATATCGTTCAAAACCATCTTTTGCAAGTAAGTAAAATTAGCATGTGTTAAGAGTAAAACTGATGAGATTGTCATATAAACTGACTGCTACTTCCTGATGATTGGATGGAAGGTTCTTTGCCTTGTAGCCATGGAAAAGCCCGTTTCTTTGGATTCTGAGCATATCAGGGATGAAAAAGTTAAGGTACATTTTTTTTTTATGGAAATGCAGAACTTGAATCAAGTGAAATTATTTTATCAGTATTCATCCACTAGTCTTTCTTTCAGGTTCTTCAGTCTGTAGAGCCAATCAAAGATGAAGAGGTAGTTCTAGGACAGTACCATGGCTACCGAGATGATTCAAAAGTTCCTGACCACTCGAACACCCCTACATTTGCCTCCATCATTCTCCGAATCCACAACGAAAGATGGGAAGGTAACTGGTTGATGATTTCCTACATCCACATTCTATTGTTAGCCTTATCTCTGATGATCATGGACACTGGATGCAATAAACACAGGTGTTCCTTTCATTCTGAAGGCAGGGAAAGCATTGAGCTCCAAAAAGGCAGATATTCGAGTCCAGTTCAAGGATGTACCTGGTGATATATTCAATTGTATGTCATCTAACCATGCAATCCGGATTTTGCTTGATCACTCGATTAGAAAGTCTATGTCTTTGATTAATCTTTGTTACCTTGACCGTGTTTCTTTAGGCGAAAAGCAAGGAAGAAATGAGTTTGTTATGCGACTGCAGCCCTCAGAAGCCATGTACATGAAACTGGCAGTATGTGCAGCAAATCTCGATTCTTAATCTGATGCTGATGATGATCCATACTTAAAATAGCCATTTTGCTCTACGTGCTGGCCACTATTTTCCTGATCTGGTGCAGGTTAAGCAGCCAGGACTGGAGATGTCAACTGTCCAGAGTGAGCTAGACTTGTCGTACAAACAACGTTATCATGGAGTCACCATTCCAGATGCTTACGAACGCCTCCTCCTCGACACGTAATGATCAACACTTTTTCATTCCTTTAAAGCTCCCATGTACTTAGAAACTACTCTCTTTATGCAGTATTCATGGCGACCAGCAGCATTTTGTACGTAGAGACGAGTTGAAGGTAAATGAAAAGTCCCTGCAACCACTGGCTAACAGTATATATGCTTGGGGGATCAAAAGTAAAACTACATTGGATTCCATGTGTATTGAATCGAACAGGCTGCATGGGATATATTCACACCCCTTCTGCACAGGATCGACATTGGCGAGCTGAAACCCATTTCGTACCAACAGGGGAGCAGGGGGCCTGCAGAAGCCGACGAGCTGCTGCTGAGAGCTGGCTACATCCGAACTCATGGCTACAGATGGATTCCTCCAGCATTGTAAAGAGAATATCAAGTGGAAATGGAAGAAAAGCTTGTGGCTTTGAGGGAACTAGTGAAACTTTTACTAGGCCCCTTTGCTTAATGTTTCTAGCTACTTGTGTCACATGCTTAGAAGTTAAGTACTTTGAGTGGACAATTTAGAAGTTTCTCACTTCTCAGCAGTTCACTTGTATCATGTACTTAAAGAAAGTCAAATTACACGTTCATAAATTTGATACACTTCATTCTGGAGATTCATTACACAAATACTTCATTCTGGATATACTATTGTGCAATACCTCCTTTAATGACAAAGATGGTGATTTGAAAAAAAACAAACAAACAAACAAAACTATAGACTATACTTAGATACAGATAGTATTTCTTGCCATTAGATGACGCACATAAAAGTATGTCATCATAAATTTATCAGTTAATTATGAATATGAAAACATAGTATGTCTCTTCATTTCACCACAAAACAAAACAATCGAGATTATGTCATCATAAATTTATCAATTAATTATGAATATGAAAACATAGTATGTCTCTTCATTTCACCACAAAACAAAACAATCGAGATATTCACCGTATTTTCAAATAAAGAATTTTCAATCACATTTCAAAATCATGTATTCTTGAAAATCCTAAACTTATAGTCATATCGTTACTCTTTTATTATCCGTGTCTAATTCTTCCATTACTAATAAAGTGTGAACTGCTTGCCACCGAAAAAACTAACACAAAAGAGCACCCTAACACTTGTTTTTAATTAGAAAGACTCTATCTTATCAAAAAACAAATTAGAAATACTCTAGCAGCATCAGCATGGAATGTCCCCTATTAACCAGATAATCAATCAGCTTGGTGATTGCATGTTTACATTACATACGTGTTGGGCCGTGGGTCGTCTCCAGCCCACCTTAAAGCCCAATCTGCTGCAGATCAAGTCATGGTAACAACGGGGCAACAATCGCTAATTAGCAGGAAGAAACCAATCGTTCGTGGCTCATTCTACATCTCCTAATTTCTCACTCTCTCCCTTTGTTTTTGTTTTTTTAATTATTCTCTTTTGGGTTTCTCACCTTCACTCTTCGTCAGTTCGTCACCCTTTTGGCTCGATCGCGCGGCGTGGGCATCTAATTTTCCCATCTCCTCTCAGCTGCGGCAGCTCCTCCGGTCCCTGGCGATCTCCCGGTTCTCTGCGCCCCTCCTGCTTCACCGTATCCACTTCGTTCCCTGCCCATCTCCTCGTAAGTTCTCCTTTTCACGCCTTTCTCCTCTTCGCCGCATCTCATCCCTCGCTAGCTATCTAGGGTTCCCTTTCTTTCCATTTTGACTGTTCCGATTGTTGAATTGTCCCTGTAAGTCCGAATCGAATGCTGCGTTTATTCGCTTCTCTTATGATTTGCTACTGTTCGTTTGTGGTGTGTGATTGCTGGTTTTGATTCGTGGTTGCGTATTTGCTCTGTTGGGGGAATGGGAGAACGTTTTGAGATATGGGATTTGGTGGGTTAGTGAAGTTAATCAGTTATTTTGTGATCTGTTGAGTTTTAGAAGCGTGTGGATTACTTGTGCCTTCCACGGGCCACTGGGGATTACGAAAAGTTGTGGTTTTTTCCCTCCGGATTGGAGGGCTTTGACGCTAGTAATAAATTGAATTCCTGTTTTCATACATAAACGCTGCTTCTATGCTTTCGTTAATCTGGATGGTGTCTCGATGTCTGGGAGTGTTGTGTTTGAGCTGGAATGTCTGGAGAAACGATACGGAGTTATAGGATGCCCAAAGTTAAAAACTTGCGTATGGGATTTCATTTTCAGCGTATGCCCAGCGTTTTTTATAGGATTCAGAAAAAAAGAAGCTATATCGTGAAGGCGGGACTGGTAGATAAACAGAGTCAGTAAAATGGCTGGATAACCCTGCTTGCTTATGAATTATGATAGATGAACCTTGTTTTTTTATAAGCGAGAAATCGAAAGAGCTGTTGAATTTGTGATTATGTGTAGGATTTGGTTTCATTTGGTTGTTGCTTGACCTGTTGTCTATTTCCTCCGGTACTGTCTCATTGTTGCTCTTTTTCTTCTTGCAATGTGCTTCAGAGAAACAGATAGTGAGCAAAATGGCTGGAGGAGGGGTTATCCGCCAGCTTCTTCAGAGGAAACTCCATTCTCACTCCATGGTAAGTTCTACATCCCTGTCTAATTCTGATCTCCTTACTCTTTTCATGACGTCTGTCTAGTTGATATGCTATGGCCTCTGTAAATTTGTTTGTTATTATATGAACCACAATGCAGACTTCTTAAACTAGTGAATTTGTTTTGATTATCAGACCAATCATGTTCTTATTTTGCATAGGTTAGTTTGTGTGTTCACTACTTTTTCCATCTATTGTTAATATATTCCAGTTTACACCTTTCAGGTTCCTTCGGTTTCATCCTTCTTCAATTCAAAGAAAGGTCATGAGGAGGCTGGATCTTTTGGAGAGAAGTCCCTGAGAGCATTGGCACTTGTTGGAGTTGGTCTCTCTGGGCTTCTGGGTACTGCAGTTGTATCTGCTTCAGATGAGGCCGAGCATGGCCTAGCTTCACCAACCTATCCATGGCCTCACAGTGGCATCCTGAGCTCTTATGACCATGCTTCGTGAGTCCATTTGTTGCCCTCATGAGTTTTTATATGGGTGTTTCTTTCTCCCAATGTTACAACTCTTTATTGTGTAACTAATCAGGTACTTATACTTTCTTCCATAGGATTCGACGTGGTCACCAGGTTTATACGCAAGTCTGTGCTTCTTGCCACTCCATGTCCCTTATATCATACCGTGATCTGGTGGGTGTTGCTTACACAGAAGAGGAAGCAAAGGCTATGGCTGCTGAGATTGAAGTTGTCGATGGTCCCAATGATGAAGGTGAGATGTTCACCCGCCCAGGAAAACTGAGTGACCGTTTCCCTCAGCCATATCCAAATGAATCTGCTGCTAGATTTGCTAATGGAGGTGCATATCCTCCAGATCTGAGCCTCATCACAAAAGTAATTCTCAATTTACACTTATGAGCATTTTAACTGCCATTGAGTCTTCCTGGAATTTTCTTTTTCTCATCCCTCTCTTTTTTCAGGCTCGTCACAATGGCCAGAATTACGTCTTTGCTCTCTTAACTGGGTACCGTGAGCCTCCTGCTGGAATTTCGGTAATTTCAACCTCGATGTCTCTGTTACATGCTGTTGTGTTCAACTAACAAATGGTTTAGTATTACTTGTATTAATTGTGCCTCGCCTGGCTGTTAATTAGCATCTCTTACCCTTAGGGATGTCCGAATCATTGTCATTAAGAAATTGGAAGTTGATATCTATGCTCCTTGTGTCTCGTGCCTGCTGGATTTTGATGTCTTGATTATTGTAATTACCTTTTGTTTGTCACACTTTTATATCGAAGCTGCTTTCATATATTACATCATTACATGTAGTTCTACTTGCACTTACTGGGTCATGTAGTTGTCGATGTATACTCTATCATGTTGGTTGTCTTTGGTGCTGTGCTATTTGTTTTTCATTAATGTCTAACCGAGAATTCTCTTGACCTTGTAGATTCGTGAGGGCTTGCACTACAATCCTTACTTCCCTGGTGGAGCTATTGCTATGCCCAAGATGCTCAACGATGGTGCTGTTGAGTATGAAGATGGCACCCCAGCAACCGAGGCTCAGGTCAGTTCACCACCTTCATATATCTCTGGTAAGGTTCGAAGTCATTATTACTTTGTCACTAACAACTTCAGCATCACCATTCATGATGGTGTGTAGATGGGCAAAGATGTCGTGTCTTTCTTGTCATGGGCTGCGGAACCTGAAATGGAAGAGAGGAAACTGGTAAGTCCCACTTACCCTTTCATTTCCACTCCCCTGATGTTCCCAACATGTTTTCAGAAATCGACATGACTAACGTTTATTTCCTTGCCTAATCGTCAGATGGGATTCAAGTGGATATTCCTACTATCCTTGGCTTTGCTTCAGGTCGGCTACCACCGACGTATGAGGTGGTCGGTCCTCAAGTCTCGCAAGTTGATTGTTGACGTTGTCAACTAAGTTTGTTCTTTCTTCATCCGGTTTATCCTTCTCCGTTTTGGGGGGAAATTTGGGGAAATAATTTGGTGGTTCCTTTTTTTGCCAGAGAAATTGAGTAGGGTTCTACTTTCTACTACACTGCCATGTTAAACTGTGGTCGGTTTTCTATTAGAGTGGGGTGGAGTGAAAACGATCCCTCCATAAAAACCAGCATTCCTTATCCTCTTTATATTTCTTACTTATGTCTCTTTCTTTCTATTTTATGGTTCCAGGAAGAAAATAAGGCAAATCCCAGCTCATATATATGATCATTATGTAAACACCACATTTTGAAGTGGACATGAGAATTTGTGTTTAGAACTTGGTTTCTACTATGAGATGTGGATGCAACTTTTGCACAGGACTACAGAGCTGATTTCTTGTTGTTTTGTCTGAAATCGGAATGTTTTTTGCTCTTTAGGATGTTAGATTAGGGTGGTGCTTATATTTGAAGTAGTTGATGACCTTTCTCTTGAATCAGAAGAGGCTTAATCTAATGCCCCTTTTCAAATGGGCCCAATTTGGATATGGACCAATACTACACTCCAACAAGAGGCCAAATCGATGGCAGATTCTCACCAGGGTTTAGGGGTGTCGGTTCGGGTCGGGTTCGGTTACCCGAACTGAAACCCAAAAAAACCCGAAAACCCGAAACCGAAAACCACTAAAACCGAAACCGAATCCGATAAGGACTTGCGGGTTTCGGTTACCCTAAACCCGAAAACCCGAAAGTATAAAAATAAGGGTTGAGTTCTATTCATTGGAAGTTTTTAGCCGGAACCCGAAAAACCGATAAGCAAAACCGAACCCGAAACCCGAAACAAACCCGAACCCGAAAAACCGAAAATGTACATAATCGGGTCGGTTTCGGGTAAACCCGAAAAACCGAACCCGAATGGACACCCCTACCAGGGTTACGTTGCTGAATGGTGTTGGCGGTTGTGTAGTATCTTGATTGGGGTCGAATAGTTTGGGTGGTGATGTACAGTTTAGTTACTCGTTTGTGCTTTCATTTGATCCTCAATATGCACCCTAAGCAACCATCCATTTTAGTCCACGAATCCGCCATTGATGTTGCGGCCATAAAAGGGAATTCGGGTTGCGGTTCCCTCATGCCTAGTCTTACCGCATCTAGACTAGGCAGGCAAGACGGGCAAGATGAATTGATAAGATTGGTTGGCGGTGGACTCGTCCGATCGATGAACCATGCGAGGGGTCGGGTTAAGGGTCTAACTAGACCACATGGACTTCTTTTATAGAGTTTATCACACTGATATGGTTATCATGTCGTTATGTGGTGGATCCATGGAGGCAACTCCTCCTTCCTCCAATCTTCCCCTTTCTTATCACCTTTTGTATCAAAATCTGGTAAGGGGATGAAGTGGACATTCCAGGGTGTTTGATTGGAAGACAAAGATGGAAGTGATAGGATGGATAGAGCATCCATCAATCTCATTGGGCCAACTAAACCCTAATCAAACAAGCCCCCTTAAACACAAAGAAATATTATCTTGTTATGGTAATTTGGTTTTGTGGGGTTTGGCTTTGTATCTTTCGTTGTCAGGAAATCTTGGAGGGAAGATCCGCTTGATCATCCCACCATCCACGCGTCCTCATCGTACAACCACCTCACCCCTTTCTTTCCATTGGTTTCCAATGGAACAAAACAATTATGGGAAAGAAAGGCCTACCTTCCCCCATTCCCTTATCCGTCCACTCACCTTCCAATGTCCGGACTTTGTAGAATGTAGACCCCTCATTTTCTTTCTTTTGCGTTGTGTGTTGTCTTGGTTTGCAGCTTTCTTCAAACGGATCTAACTTCCAACTTTGCAAGACCGACAAACATTTTGCAAAGCGTAATGCGGCATGGGTTTACGTTTTGGTTTAGAGTGGTTTTGTAATGTTATCGTATGAGATTACGTCCCTCATTACGAGCTTGTACACATGCTTCTAGAGCTACTCGATTAGCTACGGCACCAGGTGCATTTCCCCAAGGGCGACCTAAAGTTCCACCACCAACTTATAATACAGAATCGTCTCCAAAGATTTATGTCAGAGCATGCATATGCCAAACGTGAATACCCCAGAAACTACGAGTATGACGCCTGGTAGAGAGACCCAATCTTGAGTGAAATAAATACCACAGCTTCTATCTTTTTCAACAAAATCATCACGAAGTAAATCAACAAAACCCAAAATGATATCTCTTTCCCCTTCAAGTAAACTTACTATGGTACCTGATGAGTGAATATGATCTCCACCAGACATATGTAATGCTTTATTGATTGAAATTATGTTAAGTTTATGGTATAAACCGAGCTCTCGAATGAGGAACTCGAAAATTTTGAAATGCGAACTAGCCATTTATCTATGGTGCTATTGAAGTAGATGAACTTCGACCCAACCCTATGATGACTAGGTAACCCAAGTAGTCATCTTGGAGAATAAAATGGGGAAGGGGGAGTGAAATTATTATTGAAAACCTCCCTACTTTTTGCTTTCCTAATGAAGAACAAAGATGTGTACTAATTTTGCTAAACCCCAAAAAATAAAGGATGTTAATAAAAGCTGTTTTAAAATTTGTACGAAACAGGGGAAGCAGGCAGGCAGCGGAGATTGGACCGCGTGTCTACTTTCCAATAGCACCAAGTCCCTTTCCCTCCCAAAATAAGGTGCCCCCACGTGTCCCCATCTCTCCACACGTACTCGCTCCCCATTGGCTGAATTGATTCCAGCCAATCACAAGGCTGGAATGCGACATTTATGCGACCTCACTTTCCCGCCCTGGCGGGTCCCACCACTAACGCCCTCATCTGGCCAATCACCTTCCACATATTATCATTTTTTTTCAAAAGGGAAATTCTTGCTTGTATACCTGGGTAGGGTTTGTTTGGTTTCAATCAAATTGTGACTTTGACAGATAATTAAATTATATGGGCATTATTGAATTTCATTTTCAGAATAGCACTTAGGAATCGTTTGACCGTAAGGTCTGTTTGTTTGATTCTAAGCTCTTACGATTTGGAAGTAATGGAATGACGAAGAGATATTGTTTGTTTATATATAGTTAGTAGAGAAGGGGGCGAACTGGATGAGTCATAAGATTGCATTTTTATAATGTTTGAGTATGTCCAAGGGAGCTTGTTCTACATGTATAATGGTGGGATACAATGATTTTTGTTGATTGAAGAACCGTTTGTTTTGGGTTGCTCCTAACTTGGTTGAAGGAGGGTTCGAGCACTGGTATGATTGCACTTGTTCTCCTTGTTTTAACCGTACACACGACACAAGTACACTAACTATTACATTTCAGAAGGAAAAATAAAATTTTTGAGAACTGGTTTATGCGTGAATCAAGCATTGCCTACTATATATATATGTGATTGGAAAGCTGCCAATTTCTTTTACCTATATTGCTAGAATGCTCAGCATCGAGTAAATCATATGACTCATAGGCAACTTCCGGCCTTACAACGTTGTTACCATTGACTAACCATTCATGACAAAATATAAGGTGAAATTAATAAACTTGAGCCAAACACGGCCTTATAATTTAATAAAGATTTTTTCTTAAGTTCAATTCTCCGACTCTTTCGGCAGCCAGCGGACACGTGCAGGCTCTTCACCCGGCCACCGTGATGCGCTATTTGCTTTAGATTATCTTCCTTCTCTCTCTCCCCCACCTGATAGAGAGAGAAAAACCACAGAACAATATTCCACAAACCACCCAAAAAAAAAAAACCGAAATCTCCACCGCCGGCACCGGGAGACTGTACAATCCCTGATCCGACGGTGAAGCGGAGGCAGGGAAACACCCTAGATGGACGGCGGAGGAGGTGACGGGTATCGGCTGATGAACTTCGCTTCGGGGCGCGTGCAAGAGGAGGAGCCGACGATAATCAACCGGATGATGCTCAGATTCCGCCCGATCGCTCCCAAGCCGGCCGCCGGCGCAGGCTCCGGATCCTCCGCGGCCAGGCTAGTCCCCAAGGTAAGGACGAAGCGTAAGTACGTTAGGGTTAGAGCAGCTGCGCCGCGGAAGAAGAATAACAATAATAATGATAAAAATAGTAACAGTAGGGTAGGTGGCGACGGCGGAGCGGCGGCAGATCTAGGGTTTGTGCAGCTCCCGGCAACTCTCCAGCTCCTTCCTGAGGCTTCCAAGCTGGATCGCCACAGATCTGACGTCAGAATCTCGGAGCCCGTACCTACCTTTCCCGTGGAAGATAATAGTAACAGTGCAAAGAATAACCGCGGAAGCAGCGAAGACAGTTACGGCGCCGCCGTGCTGGATCCGGAGACGGCGGAGGTGGAGACGTGGGTGACGGCGGAAGGGGTGACAGGCGGGTGCATGGACGTGGCTGAGGGACAGGGTCTGTTAGGGATCCGGATGATGGATCTGCAGGATGACACGTGTCCCGCTTTCGTATCGGACGGCAAGGATAAGGTTCGGTGGGTGAACCAGGCGTATAGAGAGATGGTGGGGGCGGCGGCGGCAGGCGAGAAGGGAGGCCATGGTAATAAGGTGGTAGTGCGGCTAGTGGTTGCGGAGAAGTTGCGACCTTACTTCCAGGGGTGCCCAGCTTTTAGCTGCTGGGTTGGGGTCAGGTTTACGGATAACAGTAACCGTAACGGTAAGTGGTCTAATGTGAGGTTTCCATGTGATGTGTGGAAGATGGAGGAGGAAGGGTGGTATGGTTGGAGGTTGGACACTAAGGTTGCTCTCAAATTGGGTCTCTAGCCTAAGCTATGGTTAAGCTTAAGTGAAGTGACACCATGAAATGGTGAGTAAGACTAACAAGACAAAGGTAAAGGTTGTTTTTAAGTATGTTGATATGTGTGTGGGTTGTGTGTGGCACATTATATGACCCTCCCTTGCTACTACTACTCTCTTTGATAAATTTTGTGTAATTGTATATAAGGATGGATGGAGAGGACAATATTGCTAGAGGGTTATCTCTCTCTCCCTCTCCCTCTCCCTCTCTTTTCTTCTCAAAATCTAAGAGAAGGAAAGTGTAGTAGCCATCAAGGTATACAAAATAAAAAGGTTGATGCTTTTTAGTATATGGTACATTTTTCTCAAATGATGGTTGGTGTGTTGTGTGTTTATGGAGTGCAAAGTGTCAATAGGTGAGAGATTGGAAGGGGATGGGGCATATATTGGTTAGATGAGATCTCAAGGTTTTTGTTTTAAATGAGGAATTAGGTACCAAGTTTCACTATCAAAGTTGTTTGTTGTTTCTGTGCATATTTATGTGTGTTGTGGGGTATGTTAGGCATATATATTACTTACCAATTAGCAAGCTACAAATATATCTAAGCGTGGAGGATGGGGAAGGTTAGGTGGTATCTTTGAGTTTCCTAGCTAGCATGTTTGGAGTGGTCCAATATGGGTAATAAAGTGTTGTTGGTTTGTGATCGTGAGTACAACGGTATAGAGGTTAACTTCCCGATAATGACACATACTGATTCATTCATTCATCTCACTCTTTGTTCCCTAGACGTATGTATTTCTACATGCTTTTTGGAGCTTTTCTCTTTGATGTTTGTTTTGCCTTTTTTTTTTCTTTTTACAAAAGGGGGATAATAGTTATATATTAATGGGAGGTGAGGGGGGGAAATGGTTTTGAAGACTAAAGTTCACTTGCAATTTAGCAGGGGATGAGGGAAATCTTGACTTTGTGTTTGTGTGTATTGTTTTGATTTTTGTTTACTAACTTCAAGGATCATTTTCATATTATCAGTAGTTCGTTTGATGAGTTCTTTAATCGTTTTTTAAATATGATAAATAAATAAGATTAAGTATTTAGAGCATGACGTGTTTAAGAATGCATGTATATTTGGAGTAATGTATCGATGTATTAATTGATGTGTTTTCTCCCAAAATGTATACATTTCAATTGATATAAAGCATTTCCAACATTTCAGATATAGTGAAATTTTAGGATGTTTCCAATATTTCAAATTAAGTTATTCATATTTCGTTTTATCTTTCCTAATTCTCCAATAAAAAATATACTTAAAATCATGTAATATTTTTGTGAACACCGATGTTCATATATATCTAGCCAACTGTTATATGTTCATTAGTGTCCAAGAGGCAATTTAATGGGTATTGGGAAAAATGAATAGCTAATTACTCCCAAAATTAAAGCTCTAGAAAAAAATCATACTAAATTAGAACCAATTTTTTGGTTCTCATGAAGCCAATATATATTATATATCTTTCATAAAAATGTGTCTAATTTAGCATGGGTTTTTTATTAAGGTTTAAAAATAATAATAATTTTATCCTTACATTTTCTTTATATCTTTATAGGTAGTCTCTTTTTGTAAATAAAATACATTATAATTAAGTAAATACGAAAATAAAAAATTATCATTAATTACATGACAATATTCATATAATAGTAATAGTGATAGTGATGATACTAAGAACTAATAATAGTAACACCTAGTAATTCAATATTAATATTGGCCCTTCTTAATTAGATTAATAGTCTTAAACGTATGTGTATTGTAGTCATGATGTCCTAACATGTTGGATCATGTGTTCTTGAATTCAGTTATCACCACATACATTCAAAGGAAACTCATGATATTCCAACAGTCGTTGATTATGTTAGAATGTACTAATCTCAATGGTCGTTAGGACATTGACAGGGTGGTACTGCGAGTAGCTAATATGTTACATGCATAGGTACGTGATTTCTTCATCGTCATTGCTTTTCTTTAGTTAGGTTTTTAGTAACTATAATGGTAATCTAATTTGGTGTTATTAAACTTTAAAATGTCGCAATAGTGTTACTAATTGTACTATCTATGACATTTTGGAATGTCTCAACAAATATCATTATTTGTATCATATATGACACTTTTTAATATTCATACAAATATCACTATTTGTATCACCTACAGAATTATGGAATGTCCCATTAAATGTCACTATTCATATCACATATGATGTTGTAAAAAATGTCACTATTTGTTTCAACCACGGCACGTTTGACATGTCACAGTAAATGTCACTATTGGTATCAGCTATGACACTTTGGAATGTTCTGAGAAATGTCACTATTTGTATTTACTATGTCACATTGAAATGTCTTGAGAAATGTCACTATTTGTATTTACGATGACACATTGACATGCCATTAGAAATGTCACTATTGGGATCAACTGTGACATATTGGAATCTCACAAAAAGTGTCACTAATTGTATCACCTTTGATGATTAGGAATATCTCGAGAAATGTCACATGTCCTTAAAAATGTCACTATTGAGATGGGCTATAACATATGAAAATGTCGCGGTAAATGTTACCATTGGTGTCAACCATGACACTTTGGAATGTCCTGAGAAATGTCACAATATGTATTTACTATGACACTTTGATATGTCCTTAGAAATGTCACTATTGGGATCTACTATGACAATTATGAATGTATCGAGAAATGTCACTATTTGTATCAATAGTGACATATTAACATGTCCTTATAAATGTCACTATTGAGATGGGCTATGACATATTGAAATGTCACAAGACATGTCATTATTGGTATTAACTATAACAGTTTGATATGTCTCTAGAAATGTCACTATTTGCATCACTTACGACGCCTTAAAATGTGTCGCAATATGTAAAATAAACGTCACACAAAAGTGGTATTGACAATTGTAACAAATGTCACAAAAGAAGTTAGTGACACTGGATTATGTGACATTTATGTGTCATTTGTGTAAAACGTCAGTACAACACTATTGTGACATTTTTTTTGTAGTGTTACGGATTACGTAACACTCATTCTCTCACAAACACATTTTCGCCCTTAATTACCATATCATTAAATTTATATGAACGAAATATTCAAAACACATACACGTGAACCACCAAGAATGTTCTTAGTCTTACTCATTAAGATACAATTTCTAGTGTATATTTTCCCCCTTATGACAGAGAATTCCATTCGTTGAATTATTCGTTGCATTACATATGTTGTCGTCTTTTTATTGTTGTGTTTAGTCAATACTCAATACCAATAGTGAAGAAAGATTAATTAAGGTTCTCTTATTGGTCAACATACATCCAATCGCACCTTGTTAGTTAAGATAAAAATATTGATTAATAAGATTATCTGGCCGTCATTAAGTGTTTAGTATTTATATTATATTATATATTAAGGGTATGTGACAATTAACTTGGATGTATGTGCTATCCATTATTCAGTTTAGAGATACGTGTGAAAGGTTTTTGAATGTATTTGTCATGTTTTCTCACTAGCTATAACTTGCCATATATGTTGGTAAATACCTAAATGGTGTTTATGGTCCATGCTCTACGAGGTGTAACAAACTCCTACATTTTGGACTTCAATAAATTAATTAAGCACGCTCAGGTCATGTAATGTTATTGATCGACTAGCCTTGTACCTCCAGGAACACCAACGGGCCTCGCTTGGATTCGAACTTGGGATCTGCAACTCTCAAACGTTCACTGTCGCGGCAGTTTTACCGTTAGACTATCTTACCTTGGTTCATACTGCTAGCTTGAAAGCAAGTTTCTTGGTAGTAATTTGATCATTCCAACTTTCTCTCATATCAATACCGCCAGCTGATACCACACTATCTACGCCACCTCATGCTCTCATATCAAAATAAAGTTTGGACTTCAAACCAATACGTTAGAAGCCATCACCGTAGAAACCCTAAACACAATACACAACCCCTCTAAATAAGGAGAAAAGGGAATAAAAATCTTGGGGGTCGTTTGGATGGGTTAATTGTCAATGTGGTATTTGTAGAGTCAAATAACTCATTTATTCTTCATGTGGTATTTCAGTGTTATTTCAATGGTAATTGAAATAAAGTATCTCGTTTGGTTGAACCATGCAAATGTGGTATTTGAGATGTGGTATTTGGTAAAAGCAGAGTGATAAAACGAGTTATTTAGAAATAACACATGAGTATAAGTTATTTCAAATAACTCATTTTGAGTTATTTGTAAATAACTCACTGTTCAAATAACTCATTTCAGTAAAACGCTGCCAAACGAGTTATTTGCGTCCAAATAACTCATTGTGAGTTATTTGAACCCAAATAACTCATACAAATACTCCATCCAAACGACCCCTTGGTGTGTCAAAACTCCTAAAAAGGGGTACCAAATAGAAGTAAAGAAGTCGAAAGTGGAAAGGGTAAATGGGTGGAATGATAAAAAGGAAAATATGGCTGGGCGGCAAAATACTAAAACGGGAAGGCGTGATGCTAACTAATAATGTTCGATTAATAATCATTATAATTAAAAGGGAGAACGTGGCACTTTGCCAACATAGCCCAAACCTAATTGGTGGCTTTGCCCCTAAATTAGAGGCTGGATGACGTCACAAATCTAAGCTCAAAATATATGCTGCCTCATCCTACCCTCCACGTGTCCTCATTTGTGCTACAGTTAATTTTGCAGCTCCCCACTTATCCCACTCTCGCGCGTCGCCTCTACGCCTTTCTTGGCCCAACATATATATTTTAGAAAGTAAAATACATATAAATAACTCCGAGCAATGTGTAGTTAATTTAGGAGAGGTTATAATCTTCCTTCAATATTCAATACGATTAGATTCTTTTCCTCTTTATTGTAAAGACTTTTGAGCTCATTAGGAGCACTCTACTTTGATGAAGCTACACAACAAATATCGATATATACATATGTTTTCAAACGAGACATGTACATCAACTAAAAAAAA